TATAAATAGGAGTCAAATTAGGGTTTCACGAGCGGGAGAAGGAAGAGAAGGATTGTGAAAGGGAATTCGAAAGAGAGATATCAAGAGCAATTGAAGAAAAAACGAAGGATGGTGAAGAGGAATTTGAAAGAGAGAAAGCAAGAGTAATTGAAGGAAGAGAGATTGAGGCTGAATAGGAATTAAAAAAAAAAGACGAGTAGAGTAGAGATAGCAAAATTGAAAGAAACGGGAATAAGAGGGCAAACATATTTCGGCTTTGCTTATGGGCTTTTTTATGAGAACACCAAATCATCGGTTAGAGCAACAATCATTTACTTGCTAGTCCTTTATCCTCAACTAGGCATTTGTAATTGACTATCAAGGTAAGAGTTTATAATTTGCAACCTCTATTAGCTTCGATCGATAAAAAAAAATTGATGACGGTGATTTCATCACTATGATCGAGTAAAATCTCACACTACCTAAAATTTAAAAGGATCATGTATCTTATAAAGATACGGAATGAAATTTTTTTTTCTTCATCTAAGGCTCTTAAGATCAAGTTTGTTGAATTAACTAATCATATACACATGAATTAAAACATAAGTAAAAGATTATCTCTTGTGGCGTAGATTTTAATCTTTATAGAAAAGGAGTAATCCAAGTATCCGCCCTCTATTGATAATCTACACATTCTAATTACCCGCACAAAAAGCACTTATAAGTTGTAGAGTATTAACTCTGCCTTTTTTTTTTTGACTTGTTTAATGTTTTCTCTTTAAAAATCTATTCGGGGATATTTTATAACACCTAAGAGAGAGAAAAAGAGGTGGCATGTGTAAAGAAAGAGAAAACTACTTTTTTCTTATTTTTACTCTAAGCCATGTATGCCCTAGCACTTACCCTACCTTTATCGCACCTTCTCTTCTATTTATAGGGGGAGTGTCTTCCTTGTCCTCCGAGGACAAGGAGTTAAGTCTTAAAAAGATTCTAGATTGGTACTTCCTAATTCCCTAAAGATTAGGAGTTGTAATGCATGTGGGTCTTTTGATTTTATCCTTTTAAACCTTGATCCTTATCCAATAAGGTTTATATTTATCTTCTTATCAAAATATCTTATAAACTTTTCAAGACAAGTCACCATTTATAATGAAGCTATCGTATTTTACTTCTCGGGGTAAGCCACCCTTCATAATGAAGCTATCATATTATATTGTTTAGGGCAAACCACCCTTCATAGCGAGATTATAGCGTTTTACTCTATAGGGATAGTTACCTAGGACAATCGAAATATTTTTATCACTCAATTTACTTTTTTTTATAAGCTTACTAAGCAAATCTAATCGAAGTTCACACTTCAACTAGCATTTGCACTTGTAAGTATTGTACAGAGAAGACAACTTGTCATAACCTAAATTTTAGATTATATATATATTTTTTAATTTTATTCATTTTAGGTCTTTATTTTTATTATTATCTTCTTTTATTTATTTATTTATTTTATCTTATTTTATTTTTTATTTTAATTTCATTATTTAATGTAAAAAAAAGGAAAAGAAATAAAAAAAATACAATACACACACAAAAAAAAATATATATAAATTATTATAGGATTGATTAGGGACATGATTGAACAAAATAAAAATAAAAATTAAAATAATTAAGGATACAATGGAAGTAATTGAAAACCTAAGAATTGAAATTACAAGATGTAAGGACCCAATTAAAGAAATTAAAAATACAAAGACTACAACAACACACCCAGATGGTACAATTGAAATAAAATTAAACCTACAAGAACCAAAATTAACACAGGACACGAACAACATGACCAATTCGGGGTCACCGGAATGACTTATCGTCTGAATTAATCCAGTTCTATAATGGTAACCAAGCTCTTGTATTCTATAATCCTCTGGCCCTATTCATTTTCATCAATGAAGACAATATGCTAAAGGGACAACATGCCAACTCCTTCTTATACATCAATTCTCAATCAAAAATTGTAGCGTACCTTCCTTCTGTCATGCTGCATCATACATGTTCATGCAAAATATAATACACAAACATTAAGCACAACTTTTGGCTCTGTTCATATATAGCCAAAATAGACAATAGGTTAGAGGGTTCATTTTGTTGTGAAAGAATTTGGATTTAAGGAAATTGATCTTAGAAATGAGGAGAGGACTTTTAGGTATAAATAAAATTAGGGTTTCAAAGTAGAAGAAGGAAGAGAGACGAAAAGTGAAAGGGAATTCAAAAGACAGACATCAAGAGTAACTGAAGGAAGAGATAGGGAGAATGAAAGGGAATTCGAAAGAAAGACATTAATAGAAATTAAAGGAAGAGAGAGGGAGAGTGAAGGGGAGTTTGAAAGAAAGAGACAATATAATAGAGATAGAAAAATTGAAAGAAACAAGAATAGAAGGGCAAACTTATTTTATTCTTGCTTCTGGGTTTTTTTTTGGCGTGAACATCGTTTCACTCGTTAAAGCAACAATCATCTACTGCTAGCCACTCATCCTTAACTAGGCATTTATAATCGACCACCTATGTAAGAGTTTGTTGTTTCCTTCCTTGATTTGCAACCTCTATTAACTTCAATTAATCCAAAAAAAAAAGATTAATGATAGTGATTTTGTCACTGTCATCGAGAAAAATCTCACACTACCTAAAATTTTCCCTTCTGGGTTTTGAATTTGCTAGATGGAGGGAAAATGGTTTTAATGGCTTGAAAAGGTTAGATTCTAGGCTTAATCAATCTGACTTATAGGTTTTAGGGTTTGATTAAGAAAATAAAGGGAACCTAGGGTTTCTGATTTGAGAAGGAAAAAGAAAAAGGAAATTTGTTCAGGGGTTCAGTTCATTTGAGGGAAAGAAGGAGATGGTTTAAGGAAGAAAGCATCAATACTGCTCGAGGGGAAGAAGATGGAGGAGCAGTAGGTGTTGGTGTTTCACGATCGTTCATGGTTTTGATTTAGGAAAGTGTAAGTAATCTAGAGTTTCTAATCAGATAGAGATAAGAAGAGAATTGACCTATTTTTTGGGTGATGGTTTAGAATTTTAGAAGAAATGGCTTAGAAGAAGTGATCATTTTGATCTCAGTAAAGGATTCAGAAGAATTTGTTTGAAGGAGAAGCGAGAGGAGGGAGACGAGTTGTTTAAGAATTTTCTACTTTGGGTCTTGAAGGGCTGGTAATTAAACTGAAGCAGAGCTAGGCTTAGCCCAGCCCTGTATGGGAAGCTTGAATGAGTTGTGCTTCGGCCTAGCACGCACGCGATTAGGCTTGGGTTGGGCTTTTCCTAGCCCAAGCTCGGGAGAGAAGGGCTGGCCTGTTCAGCAGGCTAGCCTACTGGGCCCAATAACCCTAATTTAAGCCATTTTTGAGGTAAAGCAGTTCTGAAATTTTAATACATTCCTTTTACTTTTATTTTTATTTTAGATTTAATTTTTTTTTTGAATTTTTGAGATCTTTATGTCTATTTATTTATTTAGTCAATGTTTAGTTTTTTTTAATTTTTTTTTAATAATTAGATTAGGTGATTAATAGATAGATGAGTCGAGTCTTCTAAATTTTAGGGACTAATGATGACTCTCCACTAATAATTTTTTTTTTAAATAAAAAAATAAAAAATGAAAAAAATAAAAAAAATGAATGATTAAAAAAAAAAGACATAAAAAACAGGGGAAAAGAGCAAAAGAAAAATAGAAAAATGCTAGGTGAAAATTAACAAAGTCTTGTATCTAATAGGGACCGATCTTAACTCAAATCAACTACATTTTAGTAATTAGGTCGTTCTTTGAAATAACAGTTATGTCGAGACTTAAATTGGATTTGATATTGAATTGATAAGAATTCGATGGCGAGGTTCGACCATCAATTCAATATGATATCACAAAAAAAAAAAATTTCTTAGGAAATAAAACTTAGAGTTTTGACTTAGGATTAATTTTGGCAAAAATTGAAATTTTTATGAGATAAACTTTAGGACTAAACTAGATATAGTACATTTCTTAGAAAATGATGTCTTTGGGTGATTGATATTTTTTGAGGGGTATAACCAACTCCTTACTTTAGAATCTCCAAATTAGTGTCCATTTTAGATTTCTAATTACCTTTAATACTAGGTGGCGAATCCGAAATTAATAATAACTCATACGTTCAAATAAATAAAGTTTTCAACAAATAATAATTTTAAAATTTCGAGAGTCCCGAGAGAACATCGGAAAGCAATGAGGGTTAATAGTTAAATTAATCTTTATGTCATAGTATAATTTTTAAATATGTCCTTATATTTTTAATTGAGTCAATTTTATCCTTAAATATATGTTAATTTTTAATCAATCATTTTAGAAATATTAAAAAAAAATTAGAATTAGCATATGATTTGCACATGAAATGCTTCTATTTGTCTAACTTATAAAGGTATTTTAAAAATAAAAAATAATCATGTATAAATCATGTGAACAATTTCAATATTGATTAGGTCTGAAAATCTTACCAAAGACCTTAATTGAAATCCTAGTATTTCTATATTTTCCATATTTTTACGTAAGGCCAAACTATTTATGGAAACTTAGAGTGAATTAAGCAACCCGTACTTATCCTATATTCTACGCTAGTTATGATTGGGAGTAACAGATATCACAATTTCTTTGGGTGTGATTTATAAATATGGTAAGTAGACCCCAAATTCAAAGGCCTTTTATTTTTTTGTCTTTTTTCTGATTTTTTATATATTTTTTACAGTCATAAAAGGAGAAATATATAATTGAGAATTAAAATAGAGGAACTGCAATAAAAACATTTCCAAACATAATTCCGTAACCATGTAAACTGAATTAAAACAATGAAACCAGATATCAACTGAATCTGAAGAAATCAAAGCATATGGAGAATGTTTCTAATAAAAAAGGTAACAGAACGTTTTTTCAACCATCAATATATACATATTCTCCCCATAAATATTTAGAAGCAAAAAATTGCCCATTAACATTGTGAAAAACAAGAGGCGAAAAAATGGGTTTGATTTTGGCTTCTGTGAGGCTTTTCTTTCTTACGTCCCTTTTGGCCTTGGTGACTGCTGTTGGAGCTAATAATGGCTACAAGGCTTTCAATGTGAAGAAATATGGTGCAATCTCTGATGGCAAGACAGAAAATAGCAAGGTAAATAAATTATTCATTTGTTATCCAATCATAGCCTTTTTCCTTTACTAATTCATCATGTCTGCAAGAGCGAGCATAAAGTATATACTTACCTATGTGTGATATATATTTCTGGCTATCGTCATAAGTGGTTTAGGTTTCAATGTTATCCAATGGAGGCCGGGAATTTCAATGTTATTTCCAGCAAGAAATTTATTGTGAACAATTTAGGGATGAATGGTTTGTTTAAAACATCTTCAGGAAAGTATTCAATACCAAAGGGTAAAGTAAGAAAATAACTTGATATATATAAAAGCTACCTCGTCTCTAAATGCATGTTCTTGTACTGCTTCATTTCCAAGTTTTAATTGTTAATTTATCCAGTGCATGCTTTGCTGATCAGTACCTTAATACTAATTTTTTTGCCTTTTAATAAAGGCAAGCATATACTTACATGTCCAATTAATGGGTTTGAGTTTAGGCATTCTTGAAAGCATGGACGGATGCATGTCAATGGCATGGAAAGGCTATGGTTTTGATCCCACCAGGAGTTTACATTTTGGACTCAGTGCTCTTTAGTGGCGAATGCAATGGTTACATGGCATTTTACTTGAAAGGGATTTTAAAGCCAAAAGGCAATCTGCAGACTTATGATCAATGGATTACTTTCCGATATGTTAATGGGTTCTTTATGGGAGGTGGTGGTTTCTTGGATGGCGAAGGATACAAGCTCTGGAACCGCAATGATTGTCAGAAAAACAATAACTGTCATCCTCTTGCCATAGTAAGTTCATAGCAATACTAATTCTTTTTTTTTTTTATAATATAGTAATACTAATTCTATTAATGCCATAATGCTCTAGCTTCCTATGTATAGTTAATTTGATATTTTAGTTTAATGTTTTTATTAACTTCTTATGAGATCGAGTAAAGTGATATTTCGTTTTCAGTAAACATTTATAAACATTGAACTATTGGAATAAAAATATATATATATAAGCGAGTGGTATTCAATTAAAATTGATTAATGAAAGTTGGCCAATTGAAAGATCAATTTGGTTCGCTTTTTAATTCAATTCAGTTAAAAAATATTGGAACTGAATTAATTTTGATTATTTGTTTCGGTTTGATTTTTAAAATTTTTTAAGGTGAAAATGATTTTTTTTTTTTAATTTAAGAACATGTTTAAATTTTTTTATTGTTATTTGAATTTTATAGTTCGATTTACTATATTTTTTATTATTATATATTTTAGATGTCAATTAGTAGATTTTTATTTAAATTTTAATGTCTTATTATGTAATATGCTTTAATGCTTTAGTCTTATTAAACAAATACTTATTTATCTTTCATATATACTGATTTAGACCATTTAGATTAAAGAAAAGACTTCATAATCCATAACACATTTTTCTTGATCTATTCACATTATCTTTAAAAAACCAAAAAATAGTTTCAGAAAAAATAAATTTAGCTTTTACCAATCAAAAATTAAAATTTTGATTTCATAAATTGAAAACTCAAATCCTCCTAAATTACTTATTATATTCTAATGTGAACTCCAAAAATACCCTTGGAAGATAATAACTAGCATAACATGACTTTGGAATGACTATGTCATCCTAGTTTTCCATCCAAGGCCACGTAGAGTTTAGATTTCACTCCCACGTAGTTACATTTGGCACCAATTCGAAAGTAGTGGACACACATTAAGTAAGACCTGACTATCTCATTCAACCCCACACGGCCACGCGCCACCCAAGAACCCTACAAGGGCCTTATTGTTAAGATTTGTCACCTTCAATCCTCGTAACCGTTATGCCTACATGCCATATATGATTGGATAGTATGATGTTTTTCCAAAGGCAGGCAGGCCTAACAGTTACGAGGATGATATAATTAATATTGAAGTCTTGCTTACATTATTTTCTTTTAGCCGAACATTTTGAGAGTTTCTCATGATTTGTTGTTGTATAAAATGCAATGGTTTCATGTATTGAAATTAAACTCCAGAGCTTCATCAAATAAGGCATTTTAATTGGACAAGATAAATTTGTTTTTGAATTTTAGCATATTTTTGGATGAGGAAATTATGCTCCTTTATTTAGTTGTTCGAGTTGAATATGCAAATCTAACGTTTTGTGATATTTTGGATCAGTCATTGAGACTCGAATTTATCGAAAATGGGAAGATCAGCCATATAAGATCAATCAACAGTCAGAATGCCCATATCTCTCTCTTTGGGTGCATCAACATAAATATGTCTAAGCTTAGACTATCTGCCCCTGGTGATAGCCCTAACACCGATGGGATCAAAATTGGAAGCTCAGAAAAAATTAAGATTTCCAAAACAAGAATTGGCACAGGTGATGATTGTGTAGCGATACTCTCTGGAAGTAAGAACATCGATATTTCTGAAGTCAATTGTGGCCCTGGACATGGAATTAGTGTTGGAAGTATGGGAGGGAAGGGTAGCGAGAACGAAAGTGTGGTGGGAGTAACTGTGAAGAATTGCACCTTCAAAGGTACAAGCGATGGTACAAGAATCAAAACATGGGCTTCTTCTACTACTGGTGTTGCTTCCAATTTCACATATGAGAACCTTCGAATGATAAATGTTGGCAATCCTATCATCATCGATCAAGATTATTGCCCTTATCCTCCATGTGACATGGCGGTATTTTCTTGTTCTTAATTAAGCTTTTAATTCTATTACCTTTTTCCAATATTATGCATGATTTATCCCATAATTCTTTGTATTATGTTATTTCAATATTTATTTTGCGCATATTCTTGTTTTATGGGAAGCAATTATTTCGCCTAATTTTTTTCTTTTCCTTTTGTGTTCACAGACTCCCTCGCGCATTCAAATTAAAGACATTACATTCAACAACATTTGGGGCACTTCAGAATCGAAGGTTGCAGTTACTTTAAATTGCAGTCGAACCGTTCCATGCAAGAATATACAGCTAAAGGATATCAATTTGTTCCGTCGTCATGGAGATAATTCTGTTTGGTCATTGTGTTCTAATGTCAGGGGTATTTCTTATGGCCATCAAAGGCCACCCTCTTGCTTCTAGGATCTACAATCAACTTAACTGCATATAGTTCTCTTCATTTTGTATGTTCAGTCTTAAAGTTCTGCCTAGTTTCTAATATCGCTAAGGTTTAATGTTCTTCATTAAAAAAAAAAAAAATTGAGGTTAATGGTTGTTGAGGCCTTTTATATTTATTTTATTTTATTTAGCTTTTTGCAATCCAATTAAGACATCTTAATTCAGCGTGATAGTATATTGACAGAATTTTGTAGTATGAATAAAATGAACTCCATCTCTTGCTTCTGACCGGAGAGAGAATTCCAATCAATTTATTCCATTCAACAAATTAAGCAACAACTTCTGAGAAATCCATATATATTATTTGACATCCCTAAAAAATAAAGTTTAGTTTCATAAGTAGTGTATTTTTTTTTTTTTTTGTGGGACGTACATTTTAATTTTTCTTTCCAACGGATTCTTATTATACTATATACTAAAGTAAAACGCTATTTCACTGTAGCAATGAACATTTGCTATAGTACTTTAGCTTTTTTTTTTTTAAGTTTTCATTTTTTTTTTTGTCGACACGCGTCGGCCTCCTCCCTAACCGTTTATTGTTCATTTGAACAATAAAGGCTTGCCCTTCTTTTTTTTTTTTTCTCTCTCTAAACATTGAATTTTTTTTTTAATTTCCGCCCATTTACTTGTTGAATTTCTCTTTCCAACGGATTCTTATTATACTATATACTAAAGTAAAATGCTTTTTCATCGTGACAATGAACGAGTGTTAATCGGTGTTCATTTGATATAGTACTTTGGCTTTTTTTTTTTTTAAGGTTTTTTTCTTTTGCTAACACCCGCTGGCCTCCCCCTACCCGTTTACTTGTTCATTTGAATAGTAAAAGCTTGCCCTCCTTTTTTTTTTCTCTCTCTCTAAACACTCGAATTTTTTTTTAATTTCCGCCCATTTACTTGTTCACATCCGGCTTCTTTTTTTTTTTTTCTAAACATTGATTTTTTTTTTAAATTTTCGTTTCTTAATAATATTGGGTGTTGAAATTTTAAAAGAACCAACAACTAATTGGGTGTCAAAATTTTAAAGAAATCAACAATTTATTTCCTTTATTATTTATTTCTAAAATTTAAAAACACAAATAAGAAATAGTTAAATACAAATTTTGCATTAAAAAATTATAATTATTTTTTATCATAAAACATATTATTAAACTGAAATAATTTTTCTATATGATTTTATATATTTTATTCAACCCACGAGTGTAGCGTGGGTAAAAAATCTAGTAGTCTACTAAAGAAGAAAAAAAAACATAAAACATCAAACCTAAAAGTAGTTTGGCAAAAAAAAAAAATTTCATCCTCTTCAATATTTGAGTAAATAGTAATCTATGATTATTCTAGATAGTAAATATCATTTATGTTTATTATTGTTGTTATCCGATGTTCACGGGACTTCTAAAAATTTAAGTAGAAATTTATTATTTGGAGATGTGATTATTATTAATTTTGAAGTCGTCATGAAGCATTGAAGAGACTAGAAAACCTAAAAATGACACTCGGTTCAAGAATTCTAGAATAAAGGGATGGTTATGTCTTTGAAAAGATATCAATTATCCAAAGGCATCCTTTTCAAGAAAAGGTATCATGTTTGGTTTAATTTTAAAAGTTTATCTTTTAAAAGTTTTAATTTTGTCAAAATATTTCGAGTCAATTTTCAAGTTTATTATCTAAGCCAAATTAATTTTTTTTTTTGTGGCATCATATTGAATTGATTGTCGGATCCCGAGGTTGTGAGTCTCGTCGGTCCAAAATTGGATTCGGTTTAAGTGTCAACATAACCGATATGTCGGAGAATGATTTAATTATTAAAATATGATTGATTTTGAATTAACATGAGTTCCTATTAGATAGGAGACTTGTTAAAATTATTTAAAATGCTTTCTTTATTTTTTGTTCGTTTCATGTTTTATTTTGATCTATACGAGGAAAAAATTATCAAAATTGATGTTTTGTTTTTGTTTTTTTCTACGACATCATATTAAATTAACGTTAGGCCTTAAAATTTAGGAGACTCATCAATTTCGCATTGGATCCAAATTAAATTCCTAATATGATTGACATGTCGAGGAACAATATAATTAACTAAAAATATTTGGATGAAATGTTGAATAAAATCGACTTGACTTGACTCATTATTACTTTTTTTTCATTTTTAATACTAAACAAATATACCGAACCACCATCTGTTTCTAATAAATAAGAGACTCGTTGGTCCGATATTACAACTAAATCAAACTCCATACATTAAAAAAAATTTCATAATCTCAATATTTCTAAGTTTTTTAATATAAGTAAAATTAACATTATTACAAAATAACATCATAAACTAATTAAAAAATAAATAGAAAGAAGAAACAAATCAAATGATCACTAAAGAGTGAAAAAAATACCCCTACAATATTGTTAGAAAATCACCAAAATGCTCTTGGAATATTGCTAGAAAATGGATAAAATGCCATGGTTTTTTTAAAATGTCAAAATTACCCTTGGTGTTGAAAATGATCGAATTGCCCTTGTTCATTGTTGGAGGTTGTTGTTACTTATCCGACCATCGATCAACATGTGGATCACTATGCCATATAAAGGACATTCAAATGGACCTTTTAGTTTTGGAGGTAACGACCATCATCGACCGAGAAAGAGATCGACAATAAAAAACTTTTGATTGATCTTCCTCTTCTTCTTCAATCAATTTTAATCAAATTTAATGGTTCCCAAGGCTCTAAATTGGACCAGAACAACCCTTAGAATCTATTAAAGCTTTGGATGCTCGATTTGGTCAAAAAATGAGGAAGAAAACCGATCATAAATCGTGAGTCACATGGGTCCAAATTCGTGATTGATTTCCTCCTTCCCTCGCTATTGTCTATCATTTCTATTGGTGGATAAGGGTTGTTAGAGGCTGGGGGAGTAGTTTTGTGGTGGTGGTGGTTGCTATTGATATCGTCATAAAATGGATTATTTGTGAGGAGTTTTGTATCGAGGTCTAAAAACGGGTCGGGTCGAGTGGATTTTATTTTAGATCCTAACCTCCTCCATCATTTTTAGCCATGAAAATTAGTTAGGGAAGGTGGATCTGAAGTTGTACTACAAGATGGTGGTGGTTATTGAGGGTGATTAGTGTCGGAGAATAATGATTTTAGGAGAGAAGTTGTTGCGGGTCTATGGGTTGACTAGCAGATTGTGGGTTTGGTCTTAAAGGTTGTTTGGTTTTTCTCCCTTTGTTTTAGATAGACAACTTTTTTTTAGCTTGGGATCGAATTGTGAATGCTCATTTGTGTGAGAGATTATGAATAGTAATTCTCTTATATTTTGGCTTATGGTTATAGGTGATATATAGTTATAGTTAGGTTATATTATGATAAGTAAATAATAGAGGTTTGGTTGTTTTTTTGGTAGGAATATGGGTGATGTAGGCTAAGGTTTTTAGGTATGAAGATTAGTGATGGAGGTTAGGGTTTTTGGGTAGAAGGAATAATGGTAGAGACTCTCTCAAAATGAAGTGAAAAAGGTGTTATATAGGGATTGTTTTTTAGGGTTTGGGATAAAATCAATTTAAGTCCTTTCTTGGATTATTTTTGTCAATTTCAATGTATATGTTATTATTTGTCTCCAGTTAATTCTTTAATTGAAATTCTTTAATCCTTATTCTCTTGATTTTTTTAATTTTACACCGATTAATTCTCAATTAAGTTTCTTGATTTTTATCCCTTTCTAATTACATCCCTAATTGAATGTCATTTGGTTCTCGCTTTTCACATTATTTTCTATTAGATCCGAAATCATCTTCCCAATTTTTTTCATTCTTTTATTTTTTTCTCTTTTTTTTTCTTTTTTTAATTAAAAATGAGGAATAATTCTAGGAAATTAAAATCTTAAGAAATTATAAAAATGCCTAAAAATCATTGAAAAGACAAACTATGCAACATTCTAATTTTTTTCTAAATTTTTTAATTTCTCTTTTTTCATATGAAAATAACGAGGGGTTAAAAATAGCTTATGATATTTGCCTCCTCTTTACAATGCTTATGGCGTAAAGTCAAATGAAACGAGATATTTTTCAATGACTTTGCATAATATGTTTATAAAGATTTTCTTTTCAAGATTGGTCTCGTTGTTTTGGGAGACCTTTCTTGAAAATAAAACCAATTGTTTGGTTTTCATGGGCTACCAATCTGAAAGTAAAATGCTATGATTTTATTATTTGGACAGACTCGACCAAAAATGTAGAATGCGATGGTGTTATTGTCCGGTTTTGTTATCTAAATGACTTGCCTAAAAAAGTAAATTGAGATAGCCTTGTTAACTCGGGTGGCTTGCTTAAAAAGTAAAATGAGATGACCTTTTTATCTAGGCGGCCTACTCAAAAAAGATAAAATGTGATGATCTTGTTATCTAGATGGTCCGTTTGAAAAAGTAAAATACAATGACTTTGTTATCCGAGTGGTTTGCTCGAAAAAATAAATTGTGATGGCCTTGTTATGTCGGTTGCTTGCCCAAAAAATAAAATGAGATGGCTTTGTTATCCGGACGGCATGCTCGAAAGGTAAAATATGATGGCCTTGTTATCTAGGTGGCTTCGTCTAAAAAGTAAAATACGATGGCCTTGCTATCCGGATGACTCGCCCCAAAAAGTAAAATACGATGGACTTACTATCTAGGCAGACTCTACCCCAAAAAGTAAAATATGATGGTCTTGTTGTTTGAATAGCCTACTCAAAAAAAAAAAAAAATACGATGGCTTTGTTGTTTTGATGGCCTACCTAAAAAAAATACGATGACCTTATTGTCTAAATGGTTTACCCGTAAAAGTAAAATTTTCCGGCCTTATTGTCTAAGTGGCATACTAAAAAAAGTGAAATATGATGGCCTTGTTGTCCGGACAACTTGCCTAAAAAATAAAGTGCGATGGCCTTTTTGTTTGGACAATCTATTCAAAAAGTAAAATGTGATGGCCTTATTATTTA